TGCTTTACAGGGTCCTGTGTTCTTCCTCGAAGATGGAAAATCTGCTATTTCACTGAATGATGCTTTGATGTGGGCCAAAGTGAATCCTTTTTCACCATTAGGAACAGGAATACGACTTAACCCATTTTGATGAGGTGTTTCCTCTGTACTTTATAGTGCTTAAAATAACACTCTGGGAGTTAATGCTTATTTAACCTTGATTGTCAAAGGACAGAGAGGTGGTAGTTGATTCCTCCTGATGGTCAATTACTTGAACTTTGAAAATTTTAAAATGAGAAGAAAAGGATTTCTATACAAATGTTTGTTGAGAATCCAAAGAAAAAAATTATTTGATAATCCAAAGAAAAAGTCCTAATTTCATATATAGCCATGTCTTTTTTTTTTTGTAAGAATATTGTTGTCAGACAATTATTTTTGTCAACTCTGTGTGAATAGATGCTTTGTAAAGTAAGCAACTATCTACATATTACTAAAATATTGATAATAAACTGTGAAACCCATAAATACTGTTCTGAATATATAATCATAGAATAACTTTATTGACAGCAACTCCAAACTTTTTCAGAATGACTGGAATATTTTGGCTGTTTCACACTGTCCCCCTTTTTAATTTGAACTAACTTTTACACACAGGATTGTATAGCAAAAGGAAAAATTTAAAGAGTAGGTGTTTTTTTTCATCCACTTGTTATTGTGCTTTAATAGCAGTACAAATAGAAGGTCACTTATAATTTATTTATATTATCTATATTTTGTTTAGATTATCTATTTTTTTTTGTTTAGATTATCTAAATTACAAAATTGTATTTTCTAATAGAATATTTGGCAACATTTCCCATTATACTTTCACCGGAGGCTAAAACTCTTTATAAATTATTTTTGGTTTTTTTAACAAAGTCTTTGTATAGAACAAACAGCATATTTATTGAAGTCATTTAACTATGCTGTGTACATTTTAAAAGCTTGTTTTCTCTTTACATTTTGTATTAGTTGTAAACATGCATATAACATGACAGACCAGAAGTAAGTACTTGTGCATATATATTTTTATTTACTATATCTACACTCAAATGGAAAAACAGTTATGGCAATAGAATACTAAAAATATTTAAAGCTGTGTATAGTATGGAATTTAATTATAAGGCAAATATTATACTCATTATTCTTATTAATAATTCTTATCATCAGAATTGCTCACCTTTAGAAAAGATGCCTTGGTTGCAACACTTTTTATTAGTTTAATGGATGGTACATAAGCAGAAATTTACTTTATCTGTTCTTACATTATTTGCTTGTACTTTAAAATAAATTTTGAAATTTATTTAAATTCCTGATAGTTACATGAAATATAAAGCGGTTACAATTAAAAATTGGCAGAATTATTTCTATAGCAACTGTTATAAAAAGTGGAAACAGTATTGGGTCTCTGTTTAGTAGATCCTATCAAAAAAGCCTCAATTTAGAGGTAAGCCTTGCCCTTATTTAACTGTAGAAATAACAATGCCACCATGCTGGAAAGATGGGATGGAGATTAGAAATAAAAGAAAATCCTGGGTTGGTTTTTTCCCCTCCATCTTTAAAATGGTAAAATTTCCTTCTGGTAATGTTCTAGAGTATTATTTACAGGGTTTCTGGTGTAAGAATATATTGGGTGGAGGGAATACAGCTGTTTTGTACCCTAAAACCCCCATTTTTGTACATACTTGGGTGCTGGAACTGAATATTTTACTTCCTGCAAGTATTCATTGAAAATGTTTTCCCTTTGTTTACTCCATGAAGCTTGCAGAAGAAGAATTTTATTTCAGAAGTTAAAATTCATAACTTTTGAAAGAATTTTCCATCAGTCAGTACCTGATCTTGCTTCTGTCAAATGAAAAACTATCTGTCTTTTAGCACATAAATCTTACAACCTGGTATGGAAAAGTTCTTGATAGAGAGGTGGAGAGCAAACATGAGAACTGAACATGCAGCCCCATGACTGAGGATTGGGATTGGAAGTATTGACTCAACTGCCATTCTACTATATTTAAAATCTTTTGTTGTATCATAAGGATTTTTATTAATATTTCACAATTAAAATATATTGAATACGTAGTATAACTGCATCAATGTGTTGCACATAAATTGTGCCTTAACATGGAATCTTGGGCAAATCTACTCCCTCTAAATTACAGAGTGAGGGTTAAAAATTCATTCCTTACTAAAATACAAAAATTAAGTCAAAGGGCATTTTTTATATTGGGGATTCATCAGGAAACAGTCATTGTGAATAACATGAGGTTGCATTTTCCTTGAAGTTGTTTGTACAGTGGTGAGTGAGGGGAATATGCAGAAAAGGTTGTAATTGTGTCTGCTGTTACAGCTGTGGTTGCAACTGTCAACTGGTTCATCAATTTCAAAAATAATTTCAGATTGTTTGCTAATGTGTAGCTTCATTGTCTAGTATAGCAAGTCAAATACAGGTATCTCCCCCTTAATATTAAAGAATACTTTGTCTTCAAAAGACTGTTTGACTCCTCTGTAAAATTCATATTTCCATTTAAATGAAAAAATATACGAAGCTACATAGCTAGTGTTTTCCAATTACTATTAAATCTCTGTTATGTTCAACATCCCTGAAAAGTAAATCCATTGTTTTTTGGAAATAATCTGTCCAACAGTACTGACATGATTATAAGCTTCAGAGACAGCTCCACTGGCAGCTGCAGTCTGGGACAGGAGATGTGGCACTTTAAACCCATGTTGTGGGCTGGAATGATGCCCTGTCTGTTCCACCATGCGCAGGGCTCCTGCCAGGCTGGGCCAGTAATGCTGCATGGCCATGGCTGCAGCCTCGCAGCCCCAGACAGGCCCAGGAGAAGCACAGGGAGAACCTTGAACTCCACGTGCTTTCTCACCCACCAGTACAGTACCTCCTGTGGATCTCTGCAATACTTTCAGCAAGCCTACAGGATTTCACTGTTGGATTTCTTTCCAGAATTGACATATCACACTACTCTTTATTTTTTTCCTGACAATGCCTTAGAACACTTTTTAATGGTATAACAGTTCATTTAATAAGAACTTTATTGTAATAGGACACGTAAACAGCGCTCTGACCTGGGTTACTCTTTGCTTCAGAGCCTGGTTCCTAATATTTTGATACATATAATTTATTTCATACTAAGAATTCAACCCATCAAAGCCGCATTGAATAGGGCCCTGACATCATGAGAACAGTAACAACCCTATCATTTCTGGCTAAACAAGGGAGCATTTTTGGAAGGGATTTTTACCAAGTACTAACACCAGGTATTTCATTGCCCTGCGTTTTTGGTATGTGGCAGTAGCATGCTGTGATCTGCCAGAGACCTGTCCCAGTGCATGGTCCTGCCAGGCCAACCATATCCGTTCCCTCTTTTGTTTGTCCGTGTCACATAGTAACAGAAGCAATGCCCCATCCAACTTGGCTCAGCTTGCCAAAATGAACTCAATTTTCACACAATTATCTGTTAGCAAAAGATGGAAGTTTATGTTGAAAAGTGCCTCTTGCCTGAGATGGAAGTAATGGTTTTACCACAAGCCAGTTTCTTCTGACTAGTCTCCTATTCTGTGTATAATACACACACACAAAAAATAGTACCAAATACCTGTAAACTGCAAAGATGGTCTTTGCTCTTTGGTTGGTGGCAGGGATAAGGGAGAGTGGTGGGAATGGATATTGCAAATGCCACAAGAGTATGAACACACCTATTTGCAACGAGATGGCCTGGACCCTGGTGTGACTCTCAGAAAAACTTTTAACTTTATCTAGTTGTGTTACAAACAGGTGTTTTGCAGAATAGTCATGTTTGCTCCAATCTGATATAGGGTATAGAACATGAGAACTTTTTTTGCCACTTTGTCTAAATCAAACTTGAGAAGAGATGTGTACACTTGTAGGTGAGGTTCTAAATGAGCTCTTTCTACATGGAGAAGTTCAACAGTGCTGTGGTTGGATTGGCACTTCAAAGTTGGCTTCTTTGTTAGAGTAATACACAGTAATGGTGTTGTACCTAAAACTACAAATTGCCACTTTCAGAATGAAAATAAAAACCACTACACACACCCCAATATAGACTCAGGATATGATGGACTTCTAAGCAGCTCCTCATATTTGCATTTGACTTTCCTTTACAAGGACTCCAGAAAAGCCTCCTAGAGTTTTTGCAGGGAACACAAGCAAATTAAGGTTATTTAACAGTGTCAAGACAGCTACATTTTTTATTAGAAGCATATTATTTAGCAACTGAGTAAGCATTCCTCTTTGTGAAAGCTTCCTCTATAGTTAGTTCCTCACTTATCATCTTTCCAGTAGAAACATAAATACTGAAAAGAGTCACTGAAAAGGAATGGAAGAGGGTGAATCACCAAGGGCAGATGACAAGTTTTCAGGTGTCCCATGCTTTGGTATGCAGGAAATGTATCAGTCACTGAGAAAATAATCTGTTCTCAAAGGAACAGCAAATGAGAAGAGGGAAAGGAGGAGTACTACACTTTCATCTATTCAGATCACAATCATCAAAAATTCAAGGGCATAAGCAAAGCCTCAGGGTTTTCTAATGTCTCTTGGGGGTGTCACCATTCTATCTCTTGCTAGAGTTGAACAATACCTTTTCACAGAAAAGCCTGTTGGAGTATTCTGGGAATTTGCAACAGGATTTTTGGAGCTGCATAAATGTTTACAAAACAAGAGAAATAATGTCCTTTCACGAGCTGTACCCATCCTGACAAAAACTGACATTTTTGAAAACTTGTATTCACCTCCTGAACTCGAGCTTGAATACCTCCACTATATGTCTTCAGAAACATCACAGACAATACATATTAAAATATGGCTTTCTCTGAGGCAAATAATTAGTTAATTGCCCATTAAATGCTTGTGATACAGCACTGTTATGAAAAGATAAGGGAAGTGCCCATAAAATTCTGTTTTATGTATTAATTATCTACATATGTATTGTCTACAGAAAGAAAAATAATTAACGTTTAATTGTTTTATTTTTATCAATGCATATAGTGCACCCATCACCAAGTATTTTTAGGTACATGAACAACAGAAATTTGAAAATACATAAAATATTGACTCCAAATGGACAAACTTAACAAATAATAATAAAGAAACTCTTTGTCATTCAGGCGTGTCAAACAGATTTTAAAAACGTAAACACAATTAAAATTAACAGCAGTAAAGCTATAAAGGGTTAAGATAAAGTTATACAATCATGTCCCAGAGTATCAGCACACTTATTCAATTCAGCTGGATTAGCACCTTGGCACTAGTTGCTGAATGGCTCCCAGTTACTATTACATTACCAAGACCAGGTGTCAAAATACCATTTTTTTAAGCAATATGCAAAAGGCTTTTTTTTTTCCGCCCAGCAGTTCTTTAGATAAAACGTACAATAAACAGAGAGGAAAAAAATGTACTTGCTATATTTAAGTTTCTAACAATTAATTATTATGTTATCTATACTGTAAGAAATTCTTAAGTATTGTTGGCAGCTGGAGTTGTGGAACAAGATGCAGTCTAGCTCTTCCTATGTAATTTCGGATACATAGTCGGCAGAGCTGACAAAGAGAAGATGGTGTGGCTGCAAACAATAAAGAAAGGAGTTTAATTGTACAACTATAAAAGCCAGCACTTTGTTTTACAAAAGTCTTGCACAATAATAGGATTTCTAAAAAAACAAAGTTCACATTTTGCAAATTTGACATTTTTCTTCATTCCGTTTCCTTCATTGCCTTTCTGTCCTCAAAGATAAAGACTGGGGCTGCTTAAACCTTAACAATAGTTAGGGAAATACTAAAGAAAACAAGACAAGGTAGGGTTTTTTAAATTAAAAACCAGCTCCCAGAAAATATCTAATGTCAATAACTTTAAAAACTGCAGACTTCTTATTTTGGGATTTTTTTATTCATAGCACAGGTTACATACCTGCTGCAGCACTACCAGCTGCACTACCAATGCATCACTGCAACAAGAACAAGCAGGCAAAATACCCTAAGATCCTGGACTGCATTTAGTGGTCTTACTATGTTAATCATAATGTCTTTATCACTCTGCCCCCCACTCCTTCAAAGTGCTATTTTCTGTGGACAAAAAACCTGTATCTGTTTCATGCCATGTAATTTTTTTTCTTTGCTCTAACTTTTAAAAACACTACTAGCCTTACTAAATTTGTGAACACATACAGTTTTTAGAGGGGTTTTGTTAGTAGCATTCAGATTACAGGGTGTTTTTTTTGGAGGTAAACATGAATCAGTGTTACTTGTCAGTCCACCCCTAAAGAGATGCCCATGGTTATTGAAATAGTTTCATTCTCTTGTGGCTTATTTTTATATTATACATAGTTCAGTCTGAACAAGTCCAGTTCCCTCTGGAATATTCTCTCTCCAAAGCAGATAGACCTTTAAGAGGTTTGAAGAACTATAGACTCTTTAGTCTCCTGTTTCTCAGGTTTTTAAAATTTTGTGAAGAAAATTTAGAAAATTAAACTTCTTATGCTTTTTGCCCACAATCAAAATAATTTGCTTTATATGCACATAAATACATATTCAAAAATATTATGACAGCTGACCAAAATGAAATATATATTTAACCAGAAATTTAAATACACTGTTTCTTTTTAACAAGGTCTGTAAAAACCAATAAAAATGTAGCTTTGATGTCTACTTAAGTAAACACCCAATAAATATACTATGATACTTTTTCAGCTTATATAAATTCTGATGCTGCTTGGTCAGTGGGCTCTGACCTGAGGCTAAATATTGCAGAGTATGTTTGTAGTTAAAAAAGAAATTACCTGAATGCTCATATATTCATTTCATACAGCACAGTGTTACCTTCTATAACATGGGTTGTTTGGATGTTAAATTGGGGGTTTTTTAGGTAGGTTTGCTTTTTTTAATAATTCAAGTTGCAGTTTCAAATATAAACATCTAAAACTTACCTTCATGGAAGAGAAGCAGTCTCTCCACTAAACTGCTTGGGGCAGCTAAATCAACAGGCCTCTCAAAATCTGAATTTTTGGCATTTATGTCTGCCCCAAATTCAAGGAGTAAGTTTACAATCTCTGTACTAGAATGCTGGGCAGCAGCATGGAGTGGAGTTTGCAAATGCTTTCCTTTCTGCACGTTGGCACCTGGTGGGTAGATGCACATAAAGAGACAGAAGAGATTAAATAAATTTGCCACCGAGTAAGAAAGAGAAGGCTACAAAACAAACAAAAACCACCACTGGCCTGGAATGCCACAGTGCATTTAGCCACTTTTTTATTTTATTGCATAGAACTATAACTGATCACATCAGTGTTTTGTTTGAGTTTTGGTTTTTTATCCTAGGTTTTATTATCAAAGTACAAGCAGATAAAAAGGTATTAGGTAATCAATCACATAACATGAGCATCACTGTTGCCTAATCATAAAAAGCACTTTTTGTTCATATTTAAGAAAGTTTACACTACATAAAAAACATACTTTCCTTAAGTCTTAAAAAATATCACTAAACTGAAGTTTTGTATGTATATTCTTGTGAGTACACCAACTCCAGAAAGAATCTTGAATGCCTTATAATTTTTCACGTGTTGAAGGTGGAAAAGAGTTTGAAATAGACTCCCATCAAATCCAACCTTTATTCATTAATCTGTAAATTAGTTTTAATTTTAATTAAGGTGACATACACAGCCAAGAAAGCTAATAGCAGAAAAACAACCCCAAACCATTAATTCTCCCAATCCATGGGTTCTAATCATTACACTTTTATATTAATAGGTAATTTTTAACATGTTTTAAATTAAAATGGACTAAAGTAATTTGCAATAATGGGTTCATATTCAAGAAAAAAAATCCATAAAGAGTTAAACTAAACTAGCTAGTATGGAATAATCGACCTTACACAGGGAAGCTGTTGGATAATTTGCAATAATGCATTCATATTCAAGAAAAAAAATCCATACAAGAGTTAAACTAAACTAGCTAGTATGGAATAATCGACCTTACACAGGGAAGCTGTTGGTTCATCTAAAACCCAGCCTTCTTCAGACTTCTTACTGACCTTGTTGAGACCAAAAATTTACCTTACACAGGGAAGCTGGTAAGTTCATCTAAAACCCAGCCTTCTTCAGACTTCTTACTGACCTTGTTGAGACCAAAAATTGCCTTCTGCACCGACTTTACTCCCTGAATCAACACTTTTTGCATTTTAAATGTCCTTCTGAGTAAAATAATAATGTCACAGGTCTAGAAATTGGATCTGAAATCTGAACAATTCACTGTTCTTAATGTTAACAATTGGAGCATGCTTGCTTATTGTCTATCTGCCTTTCAACTTCTAATACATTCTCACAAACTGATAAAACATGAAAAAATTTAATTTACATAAGTAGTTATTTATATTCTCAATGTACATACACTTTTCTACTTCAGGGCACCAAAAAATGTCTGTTACTGTTTTTTTCTGTATGCTAGTATTTGAATCCCAAAGTATGCTAATTATACTTCTGCTCTTCTTAAACATAAAAAATCATGACACAGGATAATTAATCATCCAAGGAGATGGACTCAATGAGAAACACTTTAACTGCTTGTTTATGTTCTAAATATAGCATGCAATCAACTAGAAAAACTATTCTGGTGCAATGATAGCAAGGCTGAATTATTCATATATACATTTTAACTCCTTGTTCTGCAGGATGCAAAAGCCCTGTATGTAAATACCTGAAATGCAGCAAATTATCTTTCAGCTATGCCAATTGTGTCCCTGGACTTGTGCTGAAACAGAGACAGCCTTCAACATCTCTTACCCATTGATTAAATAAATAAATAACCTGAAATTTAGGGTCAGATGCCTTTTATCTCACCCCTTCCCTCTGCAACTCAGCCTCTCTGCCTCATGCAAAGATCAATCAGAACTTGCTGAAGAATGAAAGTGAGTGGGACTTGCTAAAGTAGTTTGACTGAAATCTCAGTGATTACTATATGAAATTTCTCAAAGCTCACTTTTTACCATTGTTTTTCCTACAGAAAATTAATATCTACAAAGATTCACTATGTGGTGAAAATTTTGAACATTCTTTCTTACTGGTCTTGCTCTTTTTTTCCTTTTCTACTTACTATGGCACTAAAAAATAAAAAAATAGTAAGTTATAAGAAAACATGACTCAGGATAAACTTTGAAGTAGAGCCCTGCAAGCAAGGGTTCCAGTTCAATTGGCTGAGCACAGATGACTCCAAAGGCGAGTACGATATGCTGATTTTACAGATCAGTAATGTTTTTATTTAAATCATGACATACCTGCATAAAGAAGCTTTCGAATGCAATGGATCTGCTGTGAAACACAAGCTACATACAGAGGTGTTCCTAAGTGAGGAAGATCTTGGTCAACATCTATACCCCAGGATATCAGAACCTCCAGACATTCACTGTGACCTGTCAGTACAAAGCATGACAGTTTGCTCAACTTCAGTATGCTATCTCATGGACAAAACCACACACATTTCTTAACCCTCCTACTGAGACATTGCTCAGCTGCTCCACGTTTATTGAGGAGCTGATTTCCTACCTCTGCTGGCTGCTTCATGTGTTGGTGATGGCAGACAGGACTCCCACTGAGCTTTGGCACCATATTGTAACAGCAGCTCAGCACATGCTGCACTGCCTCTCGAACAGGCATTAAATAAAGGTGTCACTCCATCAATTGTTGTAGCATTTACCTAGAATATATAAAATCTATTTACAAAAAGAATTAAAAACAAGGTAGATTTTTAAACAGGAAATAGTTAGAAATTGCATCAAATAAAATAAAAATACTAGTTAAAATAACAAGTTTCACAGTTAACTCTGTGAAACTGTCTTCCTCTTACCATGCTTCTCAGTTGGAATTAGTTTACTAATATTCTTGTTAAAGTATGTTGCATAAATACACCTGGAATACTAAAGAGTATATATTGACATCTGGGCAGTAAATAATTTTCAAAAGTCATTGCACTGAGCTTGTTTCAATGATACAGAAAATTTACACCTTGCATACTAACAGGATAAAGGGATCTTCTCCTCACAGCTCTGGCAGGAGTTGAGGATTATTTGCCATTTTCTTCTGTTGTTTTAGCCTCCAGGTTCAAGTGATACTTCACAAGATGGAGACAAAGCTGATAGCATAGGCTCACTGCTTTAATACCAACCTCACTCTTTAACTGAATATTTCCAGTGTGAGAGAGTAAGGAGACAAAGTAGGCAACTTTGTGAGGCCTAATAATACTAAAGGGAGGAACACAGCTATGAGGAGAAGGCTCCTTCTCTGCCCAATCTTCTTCTATGCACCCCCCAAAGCCACCAAAACAATAAAAAATACTAAAAATAAACCAGGTGGGAAAAATAATTATTTTTCTTATAGTTTTGTATATTTAGACTCCTTGTGCTAGCTGAAGTAGGGAGAAATTTGCTTTCAAAATATCTATGTATCTTTTTTTCTTTTTCTATAATAAATAGATGTATTCCACATGGTTCTGAAAACTGAATTTTAAGAACAATAAATATTTTTATTTCAAAGATCAGAGACCTGGGAAGCTATGCACTTGAACTCTGATGTCAGCAGACATTTCACTGAAAGTGATCTGTAAGGTCTACCTTAGAAAATTCTACCATTTTCATTTTGGGATAAAAGATGAGGCAGCCTATGCCAGGAGTACAGAAAAGACACTGTGGTTTTTTCTACTCATTCCACGTAATTTTAAAAGCACACAAGTACAGTGTGACAGCATACACTCTGAAGATTAAAAAAACAGTCTTCTGAAAGCCACTCAAAGCAAGAGGATCCCAATAAAGTAGAATTATATGTTCCATATATTTAAAGAGAAATATCATAATGAATACTGCTAACAGATTCACTCCAACTCATTACTGTCCCAGTGGCTGCCCATCACTCTCATCGGCTAGCATTCAGATGGCAGCTGTAATTACATGAGATGAACACAGCCAATAGGGTAAGTAGAGACCAATTACATTAAAATCAATGAATATATCCTTCTCAGTTAAGCCAAGATTAGAATTGGACTTCATATAAAAGAAAACAAAACCAAAGCCTTACATTCGCTCCTGCTTCAAGGAGGATTCTTGCACATCCTACATGGTCTCCCAGGCAGGCTTCATGGAGTGGAGTTACTTGGTCAATTGTTAGTGTGTCTACATTGTAGCCCTAAAATAGATGTGAATGGTATTTGAAGATCATAAAAAAACATATTAAGAGTTGCTTCTTCACATTACTGTTCAAATTAATAGTTTACAATACTCTAAATAGGCTTAAAACTCAACTTGCAATAACTTAATCCTCAGTGAGAATTTATTTTTAATCAGAAATAGGCATAAAATATGCAGACTGTTTAGATGCACAGTGGCAGGGCAAAAGACAACAGACCCCATATTAAGAGTTGCTTCCTCACATTACTGTTCAAATTAATAGTTTACTCTAAATAGGCTTAAAACTCAACTTGCAATAACTTAATCCTCAGTGAGAATTTATTTTTAATCGGAAATAGGCATAAAATATGCAGACTGTTTAGATGCACAGTGGCAGGGCAAAAGACAACAGACCCAGGTCAGAACATGGCAAATTCCAAGTAGCTATGTGGAAAAAAAATTTAACTGGGGGACAGTGAAACCCTGAAACAGATGAGAGAAAGGGTGGTGCATCTCCAATCTTGGTCATCCTTAAAACCCCACAAGGACCTAAGTCTAAACTCTCCTATGATTCTACCAACTTGTGACTTAAGGGCTGAAATTCCAAAGCTATGAATTTTAGCAAAGAAAACACTTACTGGATTGATAAAATCATCAAGCTCTCTAATTTTTTGAAGTAGATGTTGTTTGATTCTTAAGAACTAACAATTGTATCTACCTACTTTCATCAAATGTATTCTACAGTATAATTTTTCAACATTGAAACAGCTAATAGGACGATATTGTAATATTAAAATCTAGCATTTACAATCTCTCCCTTTGATATTAGCATTGTTTTTTTAAATTACAACAGTGCAAAACCCAGAATGTTTCAGTGATTCATCCTGTTAACTACTATCTTCCTGACTAGCTCTATTTACCCAAAGGCATAAAACAGTGAAACTGCTTTATATTGATTTATACCATGCAAGAGGGGAAGACTGATATAAATTTAGACACAATTTTGGTTTGATTGTTTTTTTAGTTTTTTGGATTTTTTTTTTTTGGGGGGGGGGGGGGGGGACAGGAGTTAAAACATACAGAAGAAATATTTTAAATGCTAGCTTATATCTTATAATATGAAAAATTCCTAAATATGTATTTCTCTGAAAAATCCAAGTGAAAAAAAGCAAAACAAAGCAGAATAATGTGCATTGATAATCTATGCTGAGAAAATAAATAACATTAAAAATGAAAGCAAATGTAAAACCAGAGCCTTCACCTGTGACAGTAAAGTCTTCAGAGAAAGAAGACGTCCTTGACTGGCTGCCTCATGCAGAGGTGAGCGATCTGCCCAAGAACCTATATAATAACAACATTTATTGAATAAGCCATATGGATTAGAAAGGGTTTGGAATGCACAGAGAAAAGCAGAAAATATGATGCACAGAATGGAGTCAAATATCCTATGAAATTAATTTTTCCTCTTTAGAGACTCAAATGATCAGTTTCTAAACAGTAAAAAGTTGCTCTATGATTAATTGTAAAGATCTCTAATAAATCATTATGTGGTCCACAGAACAAAATATTGAGATATTGAGATCAGTAATCTACTTGATAAATTCATTATTTACCATATTCCACTTCTATTTTTGCATTCTTAATTTTTAATACACATAATAACACTTTGCAGCTGGAATACAGGCATTATTTGAACTTAAACCAGATGTAAAGCTGTCTGAAGAAGTCACAAAGAAGATGGTTTATATGAAAAGCAATGTGGGAATGTGGGTATCTCTACGTATGGTGAGATTAATTTGAAGCTACTACACAAGTACAAGGGGAGAAATATAGTGAGAATCACAGTAAAAAGTTACTATAGTAGAAATAAGATATAAAGTCTAAATTCTCATTCCATAAACTAATAGGCTTAAAAATAATTAGATATGTTTACGGTAAAGGTCTGGCCTTTATTCTAATTTATTTACCACCCTCAAAAGAGAAAAGTGAAAAAAAATAGTAACCAACAACAACCCTGCATTCACAGACATAACCCTCCATAGCTCCCAGCCCAGCTTCCAGAGCCATCCTGAAGCTCCTGCTGAAGGACCTGCCCTTTCCTCTGCAAGCCTGCACACTGACAGGTCCCTTCCAGCCAGCCAAGGCTGCAGGCAGAGCTGATCCTGATTTATGGCATGAATTTTGAAAATTCAGTTTTAAGAGGTTATGCAAGGAAGAAACATCTTCAAAATGTATTATGAATTATCAGTATTTATTCCTCTAAGAACAAAATCAATAGAATTTTAAAATACTAATACAGTCACTTGTGTGAGTTATATCAAGTTGCCTAAAATTCCTGAAGAGAGAATTAGCCTGGAACGATGAATTGGTAACACTGGCAGATGACTCTTCCAGGTGTGCAGGTTTGACTCTGCCATGGACAGGGACAGCCTACAGAGCCAGCCACTGCATTTACTGGCAAAGCAACGAGTCTGAAGCGCAAAGGCTGTTGCTCAATCACTGGCAGTCACCAGCCTAAGCTCTAAGATAACTACACCCCAGAAATAGACCCTGTTTCTGTTTCCTGTTGACCCCTTCCATCCACTAGCCTGTTTCAGAAAGTACACTTCTGTTTACTATAAACAACCCCCTCAAATCACATCAAGAATGATGAAAATATTAAGACTATTTAACCTGAAAAGAAATCAGGGCCTGGTTAAAAACATGAAATAGTGCACAATAGGAAATTGTAGCTAAAACCTCTATTCTCCTACTGGTGTTAGTGAATGAGACTAAAACTTACACAGAAGTATAACTGCATCTTAGAGAACATAGTGCACTTTGTGACTCAGCACTACTGAATACTACTGAGATCAAAAACTTGGCAAAGCAAAAGCACAGATGATTATTTAAATTATCACAAGGCTACATAAAGCTGATCACAGAAGTTTAAAAATATGACAGTAAGGTTTTATAAACCTGATTTTAAAATTCAGTAAGATTTCTGTCATGTCAGAGCATCCTGTATGTGTGAAGATCCTTGAACTCTTTCATCTATAGCAGTAGATGGACTATTGTCAAGAACCAGTTTCCAATCCTCTGTCAGAATTATTTGCACAAAGCTCTGGTCATCTGTGTGTGCATGTACATATACATGCACACACATTACTCCCTGTACTTTTTACTTCAGGTTTATTTAATGTAATGTTTTGAAATTCTTATTGATAGTCCAAATTAAAAAAAGGAAAAAAGAAAAAACAAAACAAACCCACAAAACAAAAAATAAAACAAAAACACCACCAAAAAACACAAAAAACCCCCCAAAAAATCCCCAAACACTTTAAAAAACCCCCATACAAAGTGATTAGGATTATAAGGGCTAGTATACATTAAAAAAACCTTGAGCTCAGAAACCTGCAAGTGACCCAATTTTGACAAATCATCAGTATTTTCTTTCTCATACCAATAAGCTCAGATAGATTTACTGTACTGTGGTTTGGATGTGTGTAATCACTATGAGTATTTCAATCAGTCTTTTTCCTCTGTAGTAGTATTTGAATGAGCACTCAAGTTGTTCTAATTCAAATAAATTAGATCCATTAAGTTCTCCTGCTGGCTGCTGCAAAAAATTCCTCAAATTTAAATCTGTATTTAGATGTGGCTTTTGGTAATTTTGTCCCTCTGTCTCTATAGATGAGAACATCTCTTTCTCTACAGCTTATCCTACTCAATGGAAAGGAAAAAAAAATTAACTGATTATATGGCAAAACATCCGATAAAATCGTAAGAGTTACAAGGCTTTTATGCTCATTCAATAGACTTACATTTCAGATATTTTTGTAGCCATGTATAAACACAACAAAGATGCAGGTAGGGTCTGAAAGCAACAATTTTCCACCTTTATCTCCTTCACCTCCTTCCATTTTGGATTGATCAGAAGAATAGAATAATGTCTATTTATTACTCCAGTGACATTTGATAATCAAATTATACCATATCCTGTTATAAGCTCAGGTTTGCACCTAGACCCATCTGTCTTCAGGGAGAGATATTCAGCAGCCAGCTGTTTCTGATAAATCCATAAAATAAAAAAATGCTTGTATCGTCTCTACTATAAATAAAATCTAAAAGCAAAATGTTGCAGAACTATTTTGTGCCAACCAACTTTGGAAAAAGAAAATTCACATTCCAACTGACTTCTTGACATACATAGTAATTCATCATTAAATACCACTGGGACAAGAATATGTTCAAGATAAATATTTACCATAAATAAACATCAAAGGTGTTCTTAAATTCTTTGCCTAGATTACTGCCTTCTGGTAATCTACAAATTACAGTGTCTCTCACTTAGAAGTCATTAGCAAATATATAAACACTTTCATTCATTGTGTTTGTAATAGCAGTAGTAGCATAGTCTATTCCAAAACTGCTAATGCATAAATTCCCCACAGTCTCTGACAATGCTGAATACAAAATATCTCTAACTATATACAGAAGCCACATGAGTTCCAAGTTCTCTGATGTATAGTTTACCAGAAGGGTAAACTATTACAAAGCATCATTGCTTTGTAAGCATTAACAAGAAAGAATAAATATATTCACTCCATTAACAGGCGAAGTTAAAAAAAATTACAAATTATTATACAATACCTAAATCTCCATCTCCCCATGGCACTTCCAGCCAATTGCAATTATAAATCCTACTCATTTCTTTCAATCTGGAAAATAAAAAAAAATTAAAATAATAATAATAAAAAAAATCTGCTCTTGCTAGTTGGACCTGTTCCTAAAACACCCTGGCTATGTTTGGAAGATCAGCAGCTCCCTGTAACATGAACTTTCAGCCTTCAGTAAACACAGCTTTGAATATATGAGTGTGTACAAGTTGTCAGTTTCTTATGGTAAAGGACTGCTGCCTGTTTTGTCAGTTTTTCACTTTTTTTTTTTTTAATGTAACAACTTCTCAAAGTGCCAGTATCTGTGCATTGGCTTTCTGTGAGAGATTAACTGGAATTTCAGAAGAGAAACTCACAGTGAAATCAAGAAAGTCTTGAAATGAATAAATGCAGAAAAACTCCCCCTTTTTTAACCTCATGCAAAGACATACAATTTTGTGTCCTCAAAAATCAGTATCAATACATAGATTTTAAGGGAAGCACTGCCAAATGTCCCTATGTTATTTCACTACTTACTCATAACACATCTAGAAAAGAAAAGCAAAGATATTCTGAGCATGTTTCAAATGCTGTTTGAGCTGTACCTGAACCGTTTTTTAGTAGTTCACTATTCCTTCAATTATGTTCTAAAATATTCTTTGGTTTTTGAACTGGGGCACTGATAGCTATTCTCAGCAGCGAAAATGCCCAAAAATAGGGATCTGCAATTCTTGACTTTGATTCATTTCTAAGTCATTAACGTTCTCTTCCTCACATTTCCCTAGAGACCTCACTCCTTTACATCCTTTACCTGCAATTATCTATAAGTCATTCCTGAAATTATAATAATAGTAGTAAAATACTAAATAAAAATATTTTCACAATAGTCTTTACCTCCAGTCATGTCATTCCTTTTGTATTTATTTCTAAAAGTTTGTGTAGTCTCCAAAAAAAACAAAACCAAAAAACCAACAAAACAACAACCCTCCAACTCAGTATAAAAAGTACATTAAAGTACATGAAAGTACATTAGACTTTCAAAAGGAGAACTGTAATGAATGAAGTTCTTCTCACTGGCTTCCTTGGGAGATTATTTCTCCCAGGGCTCAGCACTTTAAAAAATTACTGCTCTATGGCTAAATAGATGGAGTCCCAGCCGTCAGACCAAGCACTATTATCAAAGAAGAACTGAAAATAAAAGCCTGACACAGCTCATTACTGGGAGGTGAGAAACGCAGAGTATTTGGAAAGCGTTGTAGCTAGTATTTATTTCTGCAAAACCAACAAAAGCTATGTATTAAATACTGTTACCTTTTACTTCGTAAGACGCATCTGAGTGCTTCAGCTTCTGGCAACTGAAGCAATAGACAGGATCAATAACTAAAGAGAAAAACCCTGCAATATCAGAGTGCCAAGATCAACAGAATCACTCTACTCCAGTTGTTGAACGTGTCTAATTAGGTTCAAAAAGATTTTTTTTGTGGCACTGAAATTACTCATTTGTCTAAATCCCTTGTAGAATAAAGAAGCATGTCAACCACTTAATTGATACTTGATGTTGAAAATCATTGAAAAAATCTTCAACAAAGGATTTAAACTTCAAGACATAGATATCTATGATGCTTAACTACCATGATTAGAAGTCACTTTTTTTTTAATAAATGAAGTTTAAACAGTCAACACTGAAGAACTCCAAGAGAATCA